TGCTGGGACGCACCCGCGTCGTCCACTGGCCGCTCCTTGGCCGAGGTGGAGGCTGAGGACCCGCGCGCCTTGGCAAGGCCCGCCGCGTGCGTCTCGACGCACTCCGCACCGCGCGTGCCGACGCCACCAGGCGCACGGTGCAGGCTCCTGCACGCGGCGAAGGAGAGCGTGCCGACGCTCGTGCCGAGCTCGCGGAAGGGATGGCCGATCGCGCCTACTTCCGACGCGTGCGCGAGGCCGCCAGTCGAGAGGCCGCGGGCTTGCCGCGCACTGCTACCGTCCAGCTGGGTCGGGATTGGCGCAAAACCTTGCGCGCCGTCCTGCACAACGCTGAGGTCTCGACGGGCATCGCCATCGCAGAACGTGCCGCTCGTGCTGGGGACGCACCCGCGTCGTCCACTGGCCGCTCCTTGGCCGAGGTGGAGGCTGAGGACCCGCGCGCCTTGGCAAGGCCCGCCGACGACCCTGCGTCAAGCTTCAGCCGTCGTGAGCGGCGCGCGGTCCGCGCCCGCCTGGGCCCGCGGGATGAAGCGGTCGAGGACCAGCCCAACCGCGGTGGTCACGCGCCGCACTCCGCCTCGCGCACGGGCGCCGCGCGCTCCAGGCGCGCCGCCAGGCAGCGGCGGGCTTCGATGGCGGCGCTCCCCGCCCCTGAGGGGGGGGCCGCCACGGCGCCTGGCCGCAGGGCGCGTCGCACTGCCAATGCGCGCCGCTGGGCAGGCGCGGCACGCCCCAGCTCCGCCGCGGGAGTGGGCTCCCCACCGCGGAGCCGCAGCCCTGCCCGCAGCCGTACGCGGTCTCAAAACCCGTACGGGACCGACCGCACCTCTCCCTCGGGGGGCTGCTCGTCGCCTCCCGTCGACGGCCCGATCTCGCCCGAGGAGCCGTCGGAGCCGCCTGCGGGGGAGGCATCGGAGGGCCCGCACACTCCTGACGGGTCCCCGCCCGCGAGCGTTCGCAGCCGCTCGAGAGCGGAGCCCGCGTGCGACGAGGACTCTCCGACGGAGTTCGAAGACGTCGTGCTGAGTGCCCTCGCAGACTCCTCGATGGACCTCGAGCGCGTCGTGGCGGGCCTGAACCCCGAGGTCCTCCGCCGCCTGCAGGCGGCTTTCCCTCGCCGCACGGGGGCCTCTCCGCCCGCCGCTCGGGCCTCGGCTCGCAGTCGCTCTCGGGGCCGCGGCACGCGTCTAGGCTCCGAGACTCCGCGGCCCGTGCCCCCGCCGCCGCCGCCGCCCCCTCACCACTCTGGTGGGCGTGCGGCGTCGCGATCCCGCGCGTCGACCGCAGGCCAGGGGCTTAGTCGGGCCGTCGCGCGCGGATCCTCTCGCGCGCCTTCGCGTCAGGCGACGTCGCCTCGGCGTCGCGAGGTGCGCTCCCCTCGAGTCGCTCCGAAGCGGCGCCCGAGCCCCGCTACTGCGCAGCGGCCAGCCACGTCCCGCCATGATGCGAGCTCGGGCGACGCCCACGCAGGCAGCTTCCGCGCGGACTCCGCTGCTCAGGCCCCTCCGTCTTCGGTAGGCACGCGCTCCTCCAGCGATGCTGTTGCGGCCCCGCAGGGCGGAGGGCGTGCCGCCGAGGATAGGGGGTCTTCGAGCGGCCCCGCGCCTGGCCGAGATTCAGGGCACGAGCTGCATCCCAGCGGCCCCCACAGCGGCGACGCTGGGAGCGCCGCGGCTGCAGCCTTCGCAGCGCGGCGCACGGCCTCCGCGGCCGTTGAGCTGCCCTTGCCTCCAGGGGCCGCCACCGCCCTAGCGTGGCGTCTCAACCTCGGCGGTGAGAAGGTCACAGTGGTGAGGTGGGGACCCGCCTGGCAAGCTGCCTTCCAGAGCGCGGCGTCGTGGCTGAGGTCTTTCGCACCCGCAGGGGCCGCCGAGCCCGAAGGCAGAGATGACCTGCACTGCCTCCTGCTGGCCTTGCACGCCTATAAGCGCCTGTTTCAGACAGGCGGCGCCGAGCCGATCGACGAAGCCTCGTGGTTGCATCCTTACGTGGCCGCCGTCGAGCCCGAGGCTATCCTCGCGGGCGCTGACCTCCAAGCCATGGGGGCGGGCGCCATCCGTGGCATCGGGCTCGGCTCAAAGATCGAGCACAGGAGGCGCGCGGGCAAGTTGGCCTGCCTTTTCGACCTTCTGTACCACGTGCAGGACGGTCACGGCGCCATCCCAGCAGCGCTGTGGGATCTCATTCCCCTCCGTCCGAGATCCTCGACGCGTTCGCGGAGGTGGTGCCCGTTCCACATCATTCGGGCCTCACGTCCTCGGCAGCTCGTTCCGAGCTCGCCGAATCGGCCGCAGCTGCGCGCGCCGAGCCGCGCCCGCCCTTTGACTAGGCGACCCTCGAGGGAAGGGACGCTCTGCCCGCCGAGATCGAAGCAGGAGCTCGCCGTGCTCACCGTAACATGGGCGGATCCTTCACCTCGGCGCGGGCGATGCTGGCGGATGCGTCGGGGTTCGAGACCGACGGGCGGGACACCCTCGTTCCGCCCTTCTACGCGTCCAGGAGCAGGAGGGCCGCCACGCTGATCAGCTCTCCCAGCCCTGGCCGCCCTGCGCTCATCCCGTGGTGCGTCTGCGGCCTCTGCATCTCTCTGGGAGCCGCGGCGCCGACCGCAGGCCAAGGGCTTAGTCGGGCTGCGCCTTCGGCGCCCGCTCGCCCTCCGCGCACTCCCTTCGTGCGCGATTCTCACCTCACCTCCGCGTATCTCGATCGTCGCTCGAGATCGATTGATGCGTTCGAACTGTGGTTAGCAGAACACACTGGCGTGCCGCCCGCCACTCTTTACCGTAGCGGGCTACTTCTCGCCCGCTTCCTCGCGACCTTCGGCGTGTGGCTACATGATGCAGGTTTCCCTCATTATATTCTGGTTCATGCCATCTTGGGAATCCAGAGCGCTCATCCGCATTGGAAGGCCTTTCTAACAGAAGCTTGGGACGTAGCGAGACAATGGAAGCTCGCGGAGCCGCCAAAGCTCCGCCCGCCCTTACCTCGCGCTCTGCTGCGCGCTATGGTCGGTCTCTGTTTTGCCTGGGACTGGCCTGTGATGGCGGCCTTGCTGCTCATGGGCTTTACGATGTTCCTCAGGCCTGGCGAGCTGCTGGCGTCACGCCGCTGTGACTTGTCGCTTCCTTGCGACCGCCTCGAAGTTGTAGGGGATGCTTTTCTTTCGATTCTTGTTCCCAAGACCAGGAGAACGTACCCGACGCAGCATGCTCGCTGCTCCGATCGGGGCACGGTGAAGATTCTGAATCAAGTGTTTGGGCGGTTGGCTTCCACCGATCCTCTCGCCCCTTTCGGTGCGAGCGGCTTCCGTACTAGGTGGAATCATTTGCTTTCGGCCCTGGGCGTCCCTCTTGCCAAAGCGGGTCAGGGGCTCAACCTGACGCCCGCATGTCTGCGGGGCTCTGGCGCAACAGACTTCTATATCGCTACGGAAGACGTCCCTCGCGTCTTCTGGCGGGGGCGTCGGCGTCAGGCTTCCAGTGCTGAGCGCTACCTGCAAGCCGCCGCCGCTTCCACAGTTCTTGCTGCGCTGCCCGAGCCCGCACGGGCGCGGATCCTGTTCTTCGCCACCGCCAGCGACCGCCTTGTCGCTTCATTTCTCCAAGTCGGCCCCGCAGCTTGGCCTGCCCTACTTGCGGCCGCCCGCCGAAACCTTGTCACTTCGCAAGGTCCTTGAGCACGGGTATGGCTGCCTCGCCGTCGTCGGCGAGCAGGCGGTCTCCCCCGCCTGACGCGCGGCGCCCCGGCACGAGCGCGCGGGACGGGCCTGCCCATTTTGGGCCGCCCCGCGCGCGCGAGCCGCGGCCGCGCTCGGAGACAGCTCGCTTGCGCGCGAGCGGGAGAATGCCTCTTCTATTCTCTGTGAGCAAGCTCCTGCTGTCTCCGCAGCTTCTCTGCCCCCCTCCCTCCTCTCCCAATCTAAGGCTGATGGGCGCTGCCTCGCCGTCGTCGGCGAGCAGGCGGTCTCCCCCGCCTGACGCGCGGCGCCCCGGCACGAGCGCGCGGGACGGGCCTGCCCATTTTGGGCCGCCCCGCGCGCGCGAGCCGCGGCCGCGCTCGGAGACAGCTCGCTAGCGCGCGAGCGGGAGAATCCTCCTCCTCCTCCTCCTCTTCTCCTCCGCCTTGTTTTCTCGATCCCCTCACCTGCGCCTCCTCCTCCTTCTTCTTCATATGAGAGCACGCGTGCCACTTGTTCCACATCGCGTCAATTCACTTCCTACTCATCCTCCTCCAGCCTCCTGGGGAGGCCAGGAGGTTTCCTCTCGTACCGTGAGCAGCAGGGCCGTCCTGCTTTTGCTCAAGCAGCTGCTGCAGCTGCTGATGCTGCTGTTGCTGCTGCCCCTCCCCTTCCAGCGTCTTCCCCCCTCCCCTTCCGTCCCCCCGCAACTCCTTCCCTCGTGCTCTTCGCCTCACCTGGATGGCGAGGACGTTTCCCGCCTCGGCGTGCGAGCCTACGGTGATGGCCTGGCCCGTAGCGCCCTCCCTCCCTCTGGCCGCCCTCTCCTCCCAGAATGGTCCGTGCGACTCGCCCCGCCCGCTGGCTGCTTCCGCTCTTCCTCCTCGCCCTCGTCCTGGTCCTCCTCGTGCTCCTCCTCCTCCTTCTCCTCCTCCTCCTCCTCCTCCTCCTCTTCCTCCTCCTCCTCCTCCTCCTCCTTCCTCTGCCGCCCTCTCCTCCCAGAAGGGTCCGTGCGATTCGCCCCACCCGCCGGCTGCTTCGGCTCTTCCTCCTCGCCCTCGTCCTGGCCCTCCTCGTGCTCCCCGCTCCCTGCCGCCGCCGCTGCGGCCTCCTCCCTCGAAGAACAAGGGCGGGCCTCGGCAGAAACTTTCCGAGCTCCGCGCGGATTTCTTGGATCGGCGTTGGACCCCTCATGCCGTCGCCTCCGGCACCGCCCCTCGTGCGCTCGCGCGCCAGGGAGGGGGGCCAGCGGCGATCCAAGAGATCACTGCGGAACTCGACAAGTTCATACTTATGCAGTTGTTTGCTCCTCTACTCCCGCCAGGCCAGAGATGGCTTCTTCGACGACATGGGGCTGGGCGCGATGTCCGACTCGGACGGGGACTAGCGCCACGGGGCGGTCTCGGGCACGGGGGCTGCGTGATTTCTTGTGCTCCAGGACGTGGGGAGGGGGGACGAGGAGGAGGAGGAGGAGGAGGAGGAAGAAGAGGAGGAAGAGGAGGAACAGGAGGAAGAGGAGGAAGAGGAGGAAGAGGAAAAAGAGGAAGAAGAGGAAAACGAGGAGATGGCGGGGGGGGATGGCGGAGGAGTTTTCCCGGGCCGCCGCCTTGCTGAGCAGCCCTGGCCTCGCGCCGCTCACGCCACACACGGCTGCCCAGCTGCAAACGCTGCTCCAGCCGCGCCCTGCCGCCGCGCTACCGCCGGCCGCGGCGCCGCCCGCCGGGCCGTCGCCGCTCTCTTACCGGGCCATGAAGACGGCGCTGCAGGCGAGCCCCCGAGGCAGCGGCGTGGCGGCCGGAGGCGGACGCTTTGAGCATTGGCGGGTCGTGCTCGCCCAGCCGGCTGCCCTGGCGGCCTTTTGCGGCGTGTGTGACCGCGTGGCAGAGGGGCGGGTGCCCGAAAGCGCCGCCGCGGCCCTGGTGCTGGCGAAGCTCACGCCGCTGCGCAAACTTGGCGGCGGGGTCAGGCCCATCGCCGCGCCGAATATCTTGCGGCGACTGGTGGGCCGGGCGCTGGTGGCCCCCCGGAAGGAGGAGCTCGCCGAGGCGCTGGGGCGACAGCAATTTGCCGTGGGCATTGCTGAGGGCGCTGAGTTGTTGACACACACGGCGAGGGCCCTGGCGGAGGCCAACCCCGACCTTGTGCTGGTGGCGCTGGACGCCAAAAGCGCACCGGGAGGCTTGCTTCCGCGGCCTGGAAGAGGCGGCGCCCGCGCTGCCGCCCTACGCCGACCAGTTCTGGCCGCTTGCGCTCCACTGGCGGAGAGGACCAGGGGGACCCGCTGGCGCCGCTGCTCTTCGCGTGCGGAATGCGGCCCCACGTGCACGCCTTGGAAAACACTCTGCGAGGGGCGGCCCAGCGGCAGGGGCTCAACCCAAACGACGTGCACGCCCGTGCCTACTTGGATGATGTCGTCGTGCTGGTGCCCTCGGCGCTCGCGGGCGGCGTGCAAACGGCCGCGCAGGGGGCCCTCGGCGGCCTCGGCCTTGGGCTGGAACCGAGGAAGATGCAGGCTTGGTCTCGGGGGGCAGTCTGCCCTCCGAGGCTGGAGGAACAGTGGCGCGCGCGCGGCCTGACCCTCGTGGGGGCCCCCCTGGGAGGGGCGCTGCCCCCCAGGGGGCTGCCGGACGAGAGCGACGGGCGCAGTGTGGACCTTGGCGGGGAGAACTACGCGGCGGCACGCTGCGCGGAGACGGCAGGGCGAGCGGTCGAGCTGTTCGCCAAGCTCGCGGCCCTCCCCGCGACGGCCTCGCCACACCTGCCGGCCGCCTACACCGCCGCGCTGCTGCTCCGGCGACCTTGGAGGCCGCCGCCGGGGCCTACGACGACGCCCCGCCGGCTGCCTGCGCGGAGCTCGCGCGCCTGGACCCGCTAGTGGAGGAGCCGGCCGAACGATCCGATTGGCGGACGCTGGCGGAGACACCGAAGCCGAAACTCCAGAAAGCCTTGAAAGCCAGAGTCGACCAGAAAAACTACGACTTCCTGCTGCAGGCCGTGGGGCCAGAGGCAAAGGCGCTTTCCCGCTGATGCGGCGGGCCACACGTCGGCGCCTGGCAGAGCGTCTCGCCGGGCCTGGGGGCCCAGCGGCTTGACGACGTCGACTACTGCAGCGCGGCGCGGGCGGTGCTCGGCCAGGCTGCGGCCTCCCCCTGGGGCGACATGCCGCAACGCTGCGCGGACTGGGGGACGCGCTGGGCAGCGGGACTGAGGAGGGAAAGAGGGAAGAGGGAAACGGAGCAGCATCAGTGGGCAGAGGGTGATACGCAGGAGGAGGAGGCGGTAGTGGCGCAGGAGGACAGGTGTAGGAGGGGGCGCGTGGGAGAAGGCATGGATGATACGGCAGGATGAGGTAGGGGTGAGGGGCAGGATGAGAGAGGGCATGGGATCGCAGCGCCCCTGTGGTCGGAATTGTCCCTGCAGCGGGGGATCTCGAGAGATGCTCCGCGCGCGCCAAGAAAAAACGCACCGCGCGCTCAGCGCCGTCGTCGTCGCCGTCGTCGTCGTCGCCGCCGCCGCCGCCGCCGTCGTCGTCGTCGTCTCCGTTGTCGTCGTCGTCGTTGTCGTTGTCGTCGTCGTGGTCGTCGTCGTTGTCGTTTTCAGAACGGGGACGGATTTGGGAGGTCTTCGAGCCTCGAAGCGGGAGCTCATCTCCGCTCGCCCCCCCCCTCTCTCCCCGTCTCGCCCTCTCCCCTCCCGCACCCTTCGACCCTGCGCCGACCCTGCACAGCCTCGCAGCCTGCGCCCGCTCAGGCCGCCCTTGCGCGCCTCGCCCCGTGCGCCCCGAGCCTCGAGCCGCCTGGGTCCGGCGGAGCGCGGGGCCGCCGGCGCCCCCCCCCTCGGTGCGGGTGCTGCCATAGGTGGTTCCCTGGCCCAGGGCGTCTTCAGCACCTCCAGAATCAGAGGAGGGCGAGCTGAAACACAAGTCGGTGGTCTTTGGGGGGCCCCTCGTCGCCACGGCTGGATGCAGCTCGGAGAGCTGATATGTTTGGACCCCGGGAGGGCTCTGAGGATCGATTATGAGTTGCCGTTGTATCGTTTCGCCCTGCTCTGATAGAAGGGGCCCCCCCGGCCTTAAGAGCACCCTCGCGTGGCCTTGAGGACCCCTGGGGGTTTCAATGTGGGCCGAGCCGAAAAGCTGGGGACACCTTGTGGACCACGGACGCCTTCAGCAAACCCTTTTCGGCTGTTGCCAAAGGGGCGCAGCCCAGACTTCCAGTTGTTCCGAATCGCGGGCCGTCAAAAAGTTCTGCACGAAAAGCCAGTCCGCGGGAAGTTGTCGAGAGACAAGTTAAGATATCGGAGGTCTGCGAAGGTGTCCCCAATATTTTCCAGGGAGGCAAAGGTGGCATCCAAAGCACCCAGGATCTCTTCTGTAGGGCGGGGGGTTGTGGGGCGGCGTCGGTTTCGAGGACGTTTTCCCACGGTGCCCCCCAGTCCCTTGTCATCCTCATCCTCGCCCTCCTCCCCCCTCCTCCTCCCTCCTCTCCTCCTCCTCCTCCTCCTCCCTCCTCCTCCTCCTCCTCCTCCTCCTCCTCCTCCTCCTCCTTGTGTCCACGTTTACCGATGGGTGGTCATGCCTTCGGGGCTCTCGCTCCGAGCATGAGCGCCGTTGGCGCGGCACTCTTCGGGGCTAGTGCCAACCGCCCCTTGTTAAATGACCCGCAACTGGGCGCCTGACGACTCCATGTCTTCCGCTGCCTGTTCACTACTGATCACTGCTGCTTCTACTGCTTACTGCTGCGCCCTGCTTGCTCACAGTTGCTCGGTGATGCTCAGTGGTGCTCACTTGAGCTCGGCGGTGCCCGCTGTTGCTCATTGCTGCGCAATGCTTGCCCACCGCTGCTCAGTATTGGTGGGTGCTGCTCGCTGGTGGCCACTGGTGCTCAGTGCTGCTCACTGCTGCGAAGTGCTTGCACACTGCTTGCTCATCACAGCCCACTGCCTGATCGCTGCTGGTCGCCTCTCGCCCACTGCTGCTGATCACTGCCTGCCCACTGCCTGAGCGCTGATGCTCAGTACTGTGCATTGAAGCTAACTGATTGCTCAACGCTGGTCAGTGCCGCTCAGTGGCGATCAGTGCAGCTCACTGGTACTCCCTGGTGCTCTGTGCTGCTCACTGTTGCTGCTGAGTTCGGTGCAGTGTCTGATCACTGCAAGGCTACTGCTTGCTCAATGATTGTTTACTGCTGCCCGAGATTCCATTAACCGATACTGAAGCTCAAGACGCAGAGGAAGAGCTGGGCGATGATCATATCCTCAAGGTCTACAACGCGGACTGGCGTCACCGACGTCCGGAGGAGCATCCCCTCGACGTACGTTAGCGATGGCAGTGCCCCCAGAATTCCCCGCCAGCGCGAGGTGCATGCGACGGGCCAGATCATCGGCAGCTCAACGGCCGAGGCGCCTGCGCCCCCCCCCAGCATCGACCCAGGCGTCGGAGGAGAAGACGGAAGGGGGGGGTGACGGGGTGAGCGGCCCCTTGCACCTGCATCGCCCGCTGAGCCACCAGGCGGAGAGGTAGATCCGGAGGAATCCCCCGACTACGCGGGGGGCAACAAGGACGAGGACCAGGGCGAGTGCGGCCCTGCGGAGGTCGAAGGCAGCGCTAGAAGGACAGCTTCCCGCTTCGGAGGCAGCTCGACACCTCTGCCTGATCAACCGGTTCCACAGAGGTCCGCAGAATCCCTGGCTGGCCTGGCCTTCCGCGGCGACTGGGCACCGTCGCTGCCTGCCGCGCGCCCAGGAGGTTCAAGCTCGGCAACGGGCAGGAACAAGTCAAAACCTGACGCCCCTTCAGACCCCGCCGTAGCAATGAAGAGCCTGAAGAAGACTTGCGCCGGGGCGCCGGCGGGTTGCCGCAACCAGCACCAGTCGGCAAACAGCCACAGCCCAAGCCGGAAGGCCTCCAAGTGGAGTCTTCCCGGCCCGAAGGAAAGAAGGAGGCCGCGAAGCTGGTCGGCGCCGCGCGGGCAAAGTTCCTCTGAGGCCACCCGCTGAGGCATCTACCTGGTCGTCGGCCGCGGTCTCGTCATCTGTTGGGCCGCCGCCGACCACGCTACTTGCGCCCAGGTCAAAGCTGCGCCCTCTAAGCAGGACGGCGCTGACATCCCAGCTGGGGCCGGCGCGCCTATGGGCGCCCCTCATTCGGAAGGGGCGGTCGCGCCCAACAAAAGACACGATCCTGGCCCATCTGCAGTGCCGACGCAGTCCGCCACCGAAACACCGCGAGGCATTTTGCGTAGAAAATTTCGCAACGCGCAACGCCTGAGTCCCCGACCGAGGAGAAAAGGCTTCCCTGGAAACCCTTCTATACAAGGGGAAAATTTTACATAGTACCCGCTACCACGGCAAGATGGAATGACTGCTTTGTCTCAATGGTGGTCTCACACCTGCAGACATAGGCCAGTTCATCATGACAAATTGTGAGCGATTCGCGAGTGCTTGCTGGTCCTGTGGTCTCCACGATGGATGGGTTGCCGTTATGGACGTTCTGGTCAACGTCTGGGCTGGTGAGGGCGGCGACAGATTCGCCAATTGCATACACGGCCAACCACGCGATTCCGTAACATGGTTGCTTTTGCACGTCGCCAACATGATAGACAATTCGGGCGATAGGAAGGCACGCTTCCAGCTGAAGTGCACGCGCGATGACGAGGATGTCCCATACTGCGGATCAGAGCCACCAGTGGACCCTCGTTCCCAGGCGTATTATGCCCAGAATCATTGTGCGATCCGGTGACAGCTGTAGGCGGCGAAACTCTGATGTCACTGGCAATGCCCCCAAATTCTCCATGCTCGGAACCAGGTGGGGGTACCTGCCGGGCATCCTCTAGCACGGGCTGTCCTGTCGTGCAGAGCACTACCCGAGATGAAGGCACGGCAGGCAGTTGGTGCGCGGATGCCCGTATCTGCCAGGAGATTCTAGGATCAGTTCAGGCCTCAGGCCCGACGCCAAATCGCTTACACATGTATGGCGAGTGCCATCAGCTACGGGATTGGCCGATAACCATCAAAGGTACCGCCCTTCTGAACAGCTGGTTCAAGCCCGAGGCGCCTCTCGGTATCGGGGTGGCCACGCCCATTGGATATATCGCCGCATGAGGGTACACGCGCAGCCAACCAACTACTGTGAGCCTACTAATGGATGCGGGGACACCCGCTGATAGCAACACCAGCGAAAACCGGGCCACGGGCGGCCTTGCCGACCGACGCAGGCTCATCTTCACGGATGATGCCACGGTAGGTGCGATCCGTGGGCAGCTGTCCTGAATGACGTACCAGCAGGGCTTCCCACAAGCTTTGGGCCCGCAAGGACATTGTCAAACGCTGGCTCTACTAGGTTCGAGCTCGTGGCATTCGGTCAGCCAAGGTCCGAGCCGAGCCTGGCGGCAGGGGCAGACAGACACCGCGCCTAAAACGGCCTACGAGCAGCATCGACGAGCACTGAGGACCTCACGCAACGCATGGGCGCGTTGCGCCAGCGTCCAGACCAGGCAGCCCCTATGAGGGCAACTTCGCCCTTCGGCACTCCGCGCCAAGGTCAGGCCACTGGCTGTCCAACAAGCTCGCCGATCGCAGCCCCAACAACAGACCAGCCTGGACACAGGCAGTCGGCACGCGAGCAGAAGAGATTTATGCAGGATCAACACCAGACAGCCTTGTCTGAAATGACTGCTCGGAGTGGGTGTGACAGATCGGAACAGGTGGGCACCTCATTGGGAATCGCACCCAGGCGCGAGTCCATCGGCAGGCGCGCCCAGATAGGCGACCGGTTATTCCGGAATTTGCCGCAAACCCAACGCACCTCCCCATCCGAGGGGCGGCTCCACCACAGATGGATCACCCGCTGTTTCCTGAGTGCTATGCAGAGACCAAGGGAACACCAATGGTGGGCCAATTAATTTGCCCAAAGCCAAGTGACGCGGGATATGGCGGATGACTTCTACCGCTGGCGGGCGGCACGTGCCCCAGGTTTAGGAACGCATCTGCGCGTGGGTCATCGCCTTTTGCCGATCGACTCAGACGCGATAGCGCAGCCACCGGCGCTTGAGGTCAACCCCCCTGCAAGCGCCTTGCCGGCGCAGTCGCGCGATGCCCATGCGACGGCGCAGGCGAATATGCAAGATGCCCGAAGGGCCGCGCGACCGAAACGCAAGGCGGACGCAACAAATTGCCAGCAGCAGCGCCCAGCGCGGACGCGCGCGGACTACGAGGTCGACCCTCGGGCTAGATAAACCCTACGTCACGCGATGAAGAAGTCGAGACACGCCTGGAACTCTTAACAGCCAAGCACGTCGATGACATATACACGGCAGGAGCGGGGGGCATTTTCATGGCAGGAGTGCAAAGCGCATAGAAAATACGTTCGGCGCATGCAAACTTGACAGACGCCGCTGCGCAGATTGCGCCGTGCGCCGCGCTGAGACAGGTCGACCGCGCCCAGCTAGATCAGGAT